AAATTATATTATAAATATTATTTTATAATATTAATTTATTTTTTAAAATATTAATTGTATATAATATATTTATTAAATGTTTAATATCAAAGTTATTTATATACAATGTTTAACAAATAAGTTAATTAATATTATAAGATATTATATTTATTAAATATATACTATTTATAAATATAAGAATAGATAAAAAAAATTCTTTATATTTATTTATTTATTAAATAACTATCTATTTAATTTTGGTAATACGGTAAAATATTATATTTAATAAATACAATATATTTATTATACTTTTTAAATATAATATTTTCCATATCAATATATTTTTATTCCTGTCATTGCAGGGAGAAAAACTTTAGTTTTTTATGGATTCAAGTCAGACATAACATTTGAATAAAAAAATGCTACTAAATTTTTGAACTTAATTATGAACTTATGTACAATATTAATAAATAAGTATTATCAAATGACTATTTACTCAGAAATACCATTAATGGGTATTGGTGAAAGAAAAAATCCAAAGTTAGAAAGAGTAATTAATTGTCTATGACCGTGATTAGTTTAATTAAAAAGTACAAGAAAATGCGATTGTGTGGTAATTATTAAATTCCCGGAGCTAGTACTAGTTTTGACTAGATCACAATTTTTTTAGTTAGAACTTAAAGTATTATAAATTCTATTTATTCTTAAAATATGAAATTGCATATTATAATTTTCAAGATTATGCATGTAAACTTCTGTAAAATGAATATATTAATTATGTTTATATCTTAACTTTATTTTATAGCCTTAAACTTTTTGTCTCCAAATATTATGCTTCATCATGAGATTCTATAATGACTTTTGTTTTCTTCTTTTAAGTAATCGCTTTCAGTAATGACTTGGAGAAAACGTAGGTCTAACTGAGAAATTTCAACCCTAAACCAAATTCAAAGCTGGTAACTTGCACTCCAAGTTTGTCCAACCCGTTTGGCAAAGTTTTAATGGCAAACTGAGTCTTTCTCTATTCAATGTCAACCTATATCAATCACAAACGAAAATAAAATAAAAATGCATATAATGATTTTCAAACTAGTTGGTTAAATCTCTAGAATGGATTCGAAGGAAACGTACGTGTCCAGTTCACAAGCCAATGAAAAACCTATCAAAGACATCGATTCAAAGAAAAAAATAAATAAATAATAAGATCGTTTAATTTTATATGGGACTCAAGAAAATGTGATGACATCTACTTTGACCCTTCCCTATAAGAAAAGAGTAAAATAACTATGAAATTTAGTATAGATAACCTTATTATTTTTGTCGGCATAGAAGCACACAATTCGAATTCACGACTTAGGTCTTCTAATTTTAATTTGGTTGTTTTAATATTCAAATTTTATATATTAAATTATATGATTAAAATTGAGAAATCAAAATTACATATTAAATAATATAGAGAAATTAAAAATGTGATTTAGCCTAATGTTTTTTTAACTTTGAATTGGTGGATGTTATTACTGGAAATTTTAATCCTTATTTAAATACATTTACTTTTTATGCAAAAATTAGAAAAAGAATTATATGTCTATATCTTATAATAAATCATGAAAAGTCTAGAATCTAATTATTAAGAATAGAATAAATATCAAGATTCATTGACACTTATTCATATAACCGTTTTTTAACTAGTAGTTATATATATAATTCTTTCAATTGATCAATCTCCTGAATTCCTAATGAGGACTTAGCCTATCTTTATTTAGAAAGGGAAAAAAAAGTACATGGTTGATTATCATGTGGAATTTTGGTCTACCTTACATGTGATGGAACTTCGACTCAACCGCCACATGGTTAATTAAAAGATAATACAGAATTCTATTTTGCATTTAAATTATATTAAATTTGTGATAAAAACTTTTAAACATATCTGGTAGTAAGTTATTGAATCATAAAATTTCTCATCATCAATAATTCAAAGTGTGTCTTCTATCATACTATTAACTTCTCTTCAATAATGTGGAGATCTTATATGTACCAACTTCTGTTTTCAAACTCTTTGAAAAGTGAAATCAAAATAAAATGCTTAAGAATTGTGAAAAAAAAAAAGGAGGTAGAAGAGATAGTAATAAGGTTCATATATTTTTTCCGTGTAGTAGAAAGTTATATTTATAACATAATAAAGATCTTCTTTTCTTAAAATTAGGAAACTAATAACATATTTTATTCTATTTTTCAAATAAAAACAATATCAAATATGTATCTTTAAGGGATTGCATCCTTTTTATAAAGATTCATGTTTTATTTTGTTTTTCAAATAAA